CAGAAAGAACCACAGCGAGTACGGCGTCGACGTCATCGATTCCTCCGCCCTCACCGGGGGATTCCAGTCCTTCAACTTCAAGAACACCAGACAAGGTAAGAGAAACAACTGTTTATGATTCCTACAGGTTCAGTTCAGCTGGATAATCTCCTCGTACTAACACCACTTTATGATTTCTCAAGTAAAAAGCTAACATTAGGCTATAAAGGAACTACAGCACGGTCACATGACTTCACGTCACCACCGCTAAGCTAAAGGTGGCTAATGTTGGGCTATAAAGGAACTACAGCACGGTCACATGACTTCACGTCACCACTGCTAAGCTAAAGGAGGCTAATGTTGGGCTATAAAGGAACTACAGCACGGTCACATTACTTCACGTCACCACTGCTAAGCTAAAGGAGGCTAATGTTGGGCTATAAAGGAACTACAGCACGGTCACATGACTTCACGCCACCACCGCTAAGCTAAAGGTGGCTAATGTTGGGCTATAAAGGAACTACAGCACGGTCACATGACTTCACGCCACCACCGCTAAGCTAAAGGAGGCTAATGTTGGGCTATAAAGGAACTAGGGCACGGTCACATGACTTCACGCCACCACCGCTAAGCTAAAGGAGGCTAATGTTGGGCTATAAAGGAACTACAGCACGGTCACATGACTTCACGTCACCACAGCTAAGCTAAAGGTGGCTAATGTTGGGCTATAAAGGAACTACAGCACGGTCACATGACTTCACGCCACCACCGCTAAGCTAAAGGAGGCTAATGTTGGGCTATAAAGGAACTAGGGCACGGTCACATGACTTCACGCCACCACCGCTAAGCTAAAGGAGGCTAATGTTGGGCAATAAAGGAACTACAGCACGGTCACATGACTTCACATCACCACCGCTAAGCTAAAGGAGGCTAATGTTGGGCTATAAAGGAACTACAGCACGGTCACATGACTTCACGCCACCACCGCTAAGCTAAAGGTGGCTAATGTTGGGCTATAAAGGAACTAGGGCACGGTCACATGACTTCACGCCACCACCGCTAAGCTAAAGGAGGCTAATGTTGGGCTATAAAGGAACTAGGGCACGGTCACATGACTTCACGCCACCACCGCTAAGCTAAAGGAGGCTAATGTTGGGCTATAAAGGAACTACAGCACGGTCACATGACTTCACGTCACTACCGCTAAGCTAAAGGAGGCTAATGTTGGGTGTGATGTAGACACTTTTTAGCAACCTCCATTTTTAAATAAACCAGTGGGGTATTTACTGACATATGTTATGCCATAGAACAAAATGTTAAAATCTCTACAGCTTGTGTTAACCACAGACCTTATTTCAGCATTACAAACAAAATCACATTCAGAAAACCATTGAAAGAGAGACCACTAAGTGCTAAAATGCTGACTCATCAACTATTATTATTATTGATGTTGTTTGTTAGCATGTAGCATCCTCAGGATTTACCTCTCCATTATCAGTGAAAGGAGCTGTCTTCTTCTCACTGACATCCTTCTTTGTTATTGTCGAGCTGCAGAAAATCAATCCCCCCCCCCCCTTTAGATTACACCTCCCTGACCCCCACTGGATAAATGTGAGGCGTATGGAGCATCAATCCACTTTCTGCCTCGCTACAGGGTGTCTGTCACTGACGTTTCTGGGTTAGCACGAGTGATAGCCTTCGTGGGGGGGAGAGTCCATCGTCGCCTCATATCTGCCCCCGGCTCGATGTGGCTGTATTTGTGAGAGGAGCTACTGTGCAAGTCATAAATCCTGTTTAAAGAGGCCAGCTTTTCACCGCACACAACACAGAGGTGGGAGAAGGACTTGTGTGTGACCTAGCATTACTGTGTGTGTGTGCGCGCGTGTGTGTGTGTGTGTGTGTGCGCGCGCGTGTGTGTGTGTGTGTGTGTGTGCGTGTGCGCGCGCGTGTGTTTGAGGGATTAGACAAAAAGAGAGTAATAAATGACAACATTAAAATGATATGAGTAACAATATAATAGTCAAGTATCCTAGGAAGGGGGGGGCATGTAAATAGTAGCATGACCTTAAATAAGTAGAAAGGGGTACAAATCATATTCTATGTACATGCATATAGATTTCTTGCACAGTTTTTTATTTGTATTTTATTATATATGTTGCAAAAATGTGTTTTTCTGCAAACGTAATAAATATGTGATTTGCTCCATGTGGCGGATTTCCCACACTCTCTGAATCCAGCAGTTATAGGTGGGCGGTTCTGGTTTCAACCATTTAATGGTGATGCACTTCAAGGCCGCTGTCTATAGAGTGGAGCAGTGACGAGTCCTAAAACCAGGAAGTGAGTCAGCATGTCACCACTTCCTGTTCCCTCGTCTCAGAGCCAATGGGATCTCTCCATAGGGTTTAGGAAACTATCTGAACTAAGGTCTGTGGTTGAGACTCATTGAAGAGACGGATCACGTTTTGTTCTACGACATTAAATCATCAGCAGTGACCCCACTGGTGATTTCTGAAGAGTTGACGTGTCTGAGAAACGATAGTTGTTACCAAGTGGCTGAATAGGACTACAGAAGTCGTGGAGGCCGTTGTACGTCATTACGCCGAACACGTGAACACTCCTCTAAGTTAGTTTCTGTTCTGCTTGAAAGCAAGTCCCTGCCTCCTGCAGAGTGTTCAAACAAACGCTTCAACTCGTTCCATTTAGAATCTGTGTGTTTGAATCTGGATCTGAAGTTGGCGTGACGTTGAAGTCGTGCTGCTGGACTCGGCTGTAGCTCCTTTATAGCATCACGTTAGCATTTAGCTTCTGGACATTAGATTTATGATTCAACATTATGAAAGTGTGGAGATGATCCGGCTGAACAAAACGTGCATTCATCAAACAGGTTTGTTTTCCACAGACCTTATTTTTTACAATATTCCAAAACCCTACGGAGAGATCCCATTGGCTCTGAGACGAGGGAACAGGAAGTGGTAAAATGCTGACTCACTTCCGGGTTTTAGGACTCATTCGTGCAACACTCTATACAATTCTTAATAGATACGTCTTTGACCTCTCTTCTCGACCCTCAGGTGAAACTCCCAGTAGAGCCACCATCGGATTTAGAGCAACAATTATTTAAGAGCATCAAATATCTTTATCTTCAGTTTCATCCCACAGGCCATAAGACGGGGCGTAACTCTACGTCCGACGTAGACCCGACGGTTGAGACCAAACTAAAGTTATGACTGGTGCACCACTTAGACTTAAGCCCTGTATGCGTTGCGCCTGGGTGTAACTTTTACGCTAAGTATGGAGCAGGCGTAAATCGGAAAGACAGACTAGTATCCATAGTAACGTAAAACAGGCAAGAAGGAAAATAACGATGGCAGGGCGTCTTGTTTACATGTTTAACAACGAAAGGGCGTTAAGACGAGAAAGAGTGATTTGTGATTGAACAAACCCACTGGATTCAGTGAGCTGATAGAGAGCTCCCCTCAACTCCAGCACGGATCAGACAGAAACGCGGCGCTCTCCCCAACCTTGCAGGTGCTGATTGCGCTCAGATGTTACGCTAACGGGCTGCTTTGAATGGAGAAGTTGGAGTGTTAAATTATGTAGTCGTGTGTTGTTTGGCAACAATTACTGTTTCGCGTGTATTGACGCATCTTAAGACGAGGCGCAGCTACGACGGTGACTAGTCAGGCTTGGTGCACTCGGTTTAAATTCAAATCACTAAGTCGGACGTAGCTCAGCCCGACGTTAGAGTTCAGACCTACTTGTTTACGCCCAGCTGGTGCACTCCTGAACTAGAACATCCATAACATTCACCTGTTTGCAACTTACAAATTATGTATCACTTATATATAAACTCAGGGGCGGTTCTAGGGGAGGCGGGGGGGCCAGTGACACTGACCTCTGACCCCCTAACAATGAAAAGTTTTTTTTTTTTTTTTTTTTTTAAATGTATATTTTCTGGAACTCGGTTTGCCAAAAACCGCAGGATTTTGTTGCTGTAATGTGAGATTGTGCAGACACCCTTATGTAAAGTAGAGATGTAACTGTTCATTGCCTTTATTTTTATATAAATATGGTGTTAGTGCAAACATTGCACTATAACTTAAGCTGAAGCTAACAGTAATAACTATAAGATCTATCTGAAATAAATAAGTGTACTGAAACAAATACCAATAACTGTATTGCATTGTTTTCTTATGCGCAATTACTTCATACTGTCTAGTTCTCTTTTTCGTCCTGCATTTATTGCCCCCCTCAGAAAATAACTGGCCCCCCAGTGGCCCCCCCAGTCAAATTGGTCTAGCACCGCCACTGCATACTCTTATTGTACTATTTCTATTCTATTTCATTTGTATTTAGTTGCACTATGTGATGTGTTGTATTGTGTTGCTCTGTTGGAGGAGCCTGAGACTTTCATTTTGATATCTGCACTAACTCTGTACAGATGACAATAAAAGCCTTTTGATTTGATTTATCTCGAATGTGTAAAACAATAAAACAAAAAAATTATAATAATAATGAAACATGAATATCTTTGGGTTAAAGACACCGCATTAGTCTCGGAGAAATGTGATGTACATTTATCAATATCTTCGGAAATGATGAACACCAAAGCATCAGTTAGGGAAGAAGAGATAAAGAGAACATATGAAAGACAACTGAGATGTGAAACCTTAGACCACATCACACTTCCCTCGTGTTGCTTCTCCTGAATGCTCTGCAGCCGGCAGGCCGAGTCACACACACAGCTGGATCTCCATAATCCATCAGCTGGAGTCATTTCCTGCTGAAGGACGGTGGTGGGGTGGGGGGGGGGGGGTCACTGGTCTTTAAATGAGAGGAGCTCCCAGTGGGGGGGAGCTGCTGCCAAGTTAACAGGCGAGTCTCAGAGTCCTTGCTGCCCAGCTGCTGCAGGGCGGGGGGGTAATGTTGGTTTATTTTTAGGGAAATCGTTAATTACCGGGGGCGTGATAAGTGAGGAGCACTTCCCAAACGTAACTTTTAATCCGATGGTGGCACTATGGGAGTATTATTTTGGTTATGCCCTAAATTACATATATTTTGGAAAGTTTTAATACTAGTTGAACATTACATTGTTTTGATATGTTTCTAGTTATTGTGCTTTTAATCTTGTTTTTGTGTACGTGCGCGTGCGTGCGTCGGAGGCTCAGTGATTTGACGGTGTGTCTCCGTGTCTCTGCAGGAAACCCTCTGCTGCTGAACTCCTCCGTGCCTCCGGACCTGACGTCGGGCCGGAGCTTCAGAACCCCTCTCTGCTTCCACGACGCCGCCAACAAGGATCTGTTCGACCCACTGCCGGACATCAAGGTCAAGGTGCAGAGCTCCTTCCCACTGGACTCGAACCAGGACTACAGCGACACCGAGGAGCGGCACAAAAAGGGCCTTCTGGCGCTGAACGGGCCGCTCAGCGCCGGGAAACAGCTGAGAGCCAGCGAAGTGTTCGGACCCACCGGAGGTCGCCTGGTGCTGCCAGACTCTGGTGAGAGTAACAGGAAGTAGATAACAGAAACAACACCGCCTCCACCTGTCTGTGTGGAGGACTCTTTAAAGGTCTCCTATCAGGCAAAAGTCACTTTTTTATGTCTTCTCTACATCACCATGTGTCCCCGGTGTGTCCGGTGTTCCCCCGGTGTGTGTCCGGTGTGTGTCCGGTGTGTTCCCCGTGTGTCCCCGGTGTGTCCCCGGTGTGTTCCCGGTGTGTCCCCGGTGTGTCCCCGGTGAGTCCCCGGTGTGTCCCGGTGTGTCCCGGTGTGTCCCCGTGTGTCCCCGGTGTGTCCCCGGTGAGTCCCCGGTGTGTCCCCGGTGTGTCCCCGGTGAGTCCCCGGTGTGTCCCCGGTGTGTCCCGGTGTGTCTCCGGTGTGTCCGGTGTGTGTCCGGTGTGTGTCCGGTGTGTGTCCGGTGTGTTCCCCTTGAGACTCTCAAAGTGTCAGGAACAAACCCCTCTCTCTTTTCCTCCGTACCCACATCTCTAAAAACGGGTGAACAACGGAGCTGATCCAGATTTGCTGCGTCATGACCACATTACTAAAATGTGGGCGGGCTTTAGACCCACGGGCCAATCAGAAACGTTGCTGTCAGAAACAATGAGACGTGTTCTGGAAGTAATATGGTCTGTGTTTACATTAGCATGCTAACACTAAGAGCTAACCTGTACTGGAGAGAGTGTGTGTGAAGAAGCAGGAAATCAAAAGGAAGTCACCTTGTGGTAAACCTGAGAGAGAGAAAGAGTTTGAGCTAGTGGAGTAGAAGTACATAAAGTACCTCTGAACTTGAATGTACTTAGTTACTTCCCACCTCTGCTCATGAATATCCTGTTACCCTCTGCATTTAGGACAGCTGCACTTCTTTAATATATGATATTATTGTATGTCGGGATGTTTATGTGTGTTTGTGTCTCTGGTCCAGGGGTCAGTCTGCTGGTTCCTCGCGGAGCCGTGGCTGAGAACGAGTCCTGCGAGATGTTCATGGTGATCAATGACGGAGAGGCAAGGTGAGCGAACACAAAGGTCCTCTCAGCATCCGTCTATCTGTCTGTCGCCAGAGAGGGTAGAAGTACACACATCTGTATACTGTGTACTACATATACTCGTATGGGAGTATTCATACTGGGATCACCCTCTGTATAATGTGTACTACATATACTCGTATGGGAGTATTCATACTGGGATCACCCTCTGTATAATGTGTACTACATATACTCGTATGGTAGTATTCATACTGGGATCACCCTCTGTATAATGTGTACTACATATACTCGTATATTCATACTGTGATCACCCTCTGTGTAATGTGTACTACATATACTCGTATATTCATACTGTGATCACCCTCTGTGTAATGTGTACTACATATACTCGTATATTCATACTGTGATCACCCTCTGTGTAATGTGTACTACATATACTCGTATGGTAGTATTCATACTGGGATCACCCTCTGTATAATGTGTACTACATATACTCGTATAGTAGTATTCATACTGGGATCACCATCTGTATACTGTGTACTACACAGGAAATGCTGTATACTCGTACGATACTATGGAGGAAGTTGGGGTGGAAGTTGGTCAATTTAATATTATTTATTATTTACTTGTCGATGTTTTCAGATGAACTGCGAGTGTTGACAGCCCTGAAAATATACATTGCAAAGATTCTGCAAGAAGTATTTAAATAATAATAAAAGTGTGTAAAATGACGGCTGGAAACGTCAGTGTGTGTGTGTGTGTGTGTGTGTGTGTGTGTCAGATCTCTCTGTGTTAACCCTGAGAGTGTGTTTCCAGAAGCTTCCTTTTAAGGTGTGAGGTCATAAAGAATGCAGTTTCCTTTTGTCTTTCACATGGGAGGAATATTTTAGTTACCGTCAAAATTCTCAAGGAAAACGAAACAAACTTCCCTCTTAAAAGTCATAGTTTGATCGACTCAATTTGAAGGTCAGATATTTTCTATAATGCTGTTTCCGTAGATCGTCCCTCATTTAGTGACGGTGCTATTTTCACACAAAGGATATACTGTGTTTTCACAAAGTGTTTATCCTGTTCCAGTTGTTCCTTTCCTCACACTGCATGATTTTGGAGGTGTTAGTCTGGACTCTGGGGAGAGGGGGGGTAATGGAGTCGATCATTTAGCTTCCTGCTCGTATACAAAGCCTCTCTGTTTGCCCTCCTCTGCAGAGTCAGTCTGTAGTTTTGGTGCGTCAGGACTCGAGTTTAAACGTCACATGTCATGCATAATGCACTTTTTGATTCCCCGGTGTGTCCCCGGTGTGTCCCCGGTGTTTCCCCGGTGTGTCCCCGGTGTGTCCCCCGTGTGTCCCGGTGTGTCCCCGGTGTGTCTCCGGTGTTTCCCCGGTGTGTCCCTGGTGTGTCTCCGGTGTCCCCCCCGTGTGTCCCCGGTGTGTCCCCCGTGTGTCCCCGGTGTGTCTCCGGTGTGTCCCCCGTGTGTCCCCGGTGTGTCCCCGGTGTGTCTCCGGTGTGTCCCCCGTGTGTCCCCCGTGTGTCCCCGGTGTGTCTCCGGTGTGTCTCCCGTGTGTCCCCGGTGTTTCCCCGGTGTGTCCCCCGTGTGTCCCGGTGTGTCCCCGGTGTGTCCCCCGTGTGTCCCCGGTGTGTCTCCGGTGTGTCCCCCGTGTGTCCCCGGTGTGTCCCCCGTGTGTCCCCGGTGTGTCTCCGGTGTGTCTCCCGTGTTTCCCCGGTGTGTCCCCCGTGTGTCCCGGTGTGTCCCGGTGTGTCCCCGGTGTGTCCCTGTGTGTCCCCGGTGTGTCCCCGGTGTGTCAGGAGACTCACAAAGTGTCAGGAAATAAACCCCTCTCTCTTTTCCTCCGTACCCACATCTCTAAAAACGGGGAACAACGGAGCTGATCCAGATTTGCTGCGTCATGACGACATTACTAAAATGTGGGCGGGCTTTAGACCCACGGGCCAATCAGAAATGTTGCTGTCAGAAACAATCTTGGGGTCTGGGGGGGTCCGAAAACCAGTCAGTATCTGGTGTGAGGGGTAGGGTTAGGGTTAGGGTAATGTTGTGAATCGAGTGGCCTGTGTTCGTCGTCCATAACATACGCCTGCCCATACCATAACCCCACCACCACCATGGGCCACTCAATTCACAACATTACCCTAACCCTAACCCTACCCCTCACACCAGATACTGACTGGTTTTCGGACCCCCCCCAGACCCCCCCAATAAAGCAAAACTGCACGTTTCAGAGTGGCCTTTTATTGTGGCCAGCCTAAGGCACACCTGTGCAATAATCATGCTGTCTAATCAGCATCTTGATATGCCACACCTGTGAGGTGGGATGGATTATCTCTGCAAAGGAGAAGTGCTCACTATCACAGATTCTTTCAGATTTGTGAACAATATTTTAGAGAAATGGTTATTTTGTGTTTATAGAAAATGTTTTAGATCTTTGAGTTCATCTCATGAAAAATGGGAGCAAAAACAAAAGTGTTGCGTTTATATTTTTGTTCAGTGTATTACGATATATCTGAGACCTATAATATGTGCCTAAAAATAGTATAATAGGAGACCTTTAAATGATGATGAAGGGGGGAGTGATGGTTGCAGCAAAGCAGACGTCTCCAGAGGCCTCTCCTCTCTGAGTTACGTATTCTGATCACAGCGTGGTAATGATGAACCTTCGATGGACTGAGCTGCTCTCCGGGGGTTTCTGCATGTTTTCGAGTGTAGAGAGGAGAGCGTGTATTCTCACAGGAATAAAAGACACCTGTTATTAGAGCTGCACAGCTCATTGAAATGTTAATGAAGTCGCAATATGGACCAGTGCTTGTGGTGCAAAATGAGTACGTAAATAAGTACAATGTTGACGTACTTTGTGAGTATTTTGCTACTAGAATACATTTCATTTCGTGTTTGTGGTTACCCGACAGTACTGAATCAGAAAACCCTCTTTTTGTAGGGTTGTTGAAATGTATAGTGCACGTGTAATCCTTTTCTCTCCTGTAAGACATGCCTACCTGTGACCTGTGCAACTCGTGAGCACTGCCAGTGGTTGATCCTGACCACCAGATGTGCTTTTCGAGGGCTTTTTCTTCCCGTGTTCACTGCAGACGGACATATTTCTCCCTGTGGTCCTGTCATCTCTGCAGCTGTCAATCACTGTCTGCATCCTGCAGCCAGAGTGCATGCTGTGAGCTGTTTCCTGCCACAATCCCTGTCCAAGCTACTTCACTTCTATTTAAAAACTGCTTATTTTTCTTTTTTGGGAGCTTTTCAAAGGCTCATCTAAATCTTTGAAGGTTTTGCTTAGGTCAGACGTATCCCCTCGGAGGTTTTATGGGCACTTTGTATTGAAAAGATAAATCCCTCAATCTACTGAGGCCGTAACAGCTTTGTCCTGGTAGGAGAAGAGCCTTTAATGATGGAACGAGTTTCCCTATGTGTGCTTTATGAGAGAGGCCCAGCTGTTTATTTCTGTCTAGACGCTGCCGCCTTATTTTATAAATCAGACGCTTCAAACACACTGCAGAATGAGCAGGAAGCGCATCATTCAATCCTCAAATTAAATAGAGTTTATTCCCAGTTCAAATATACGTACATATTGTCTTCAGTTATTATATTGTTATGCTAAATGTCTCTTTTCCTTGTTTCTGTAGTGTCCCCCAAAGCTGAATATAATATGCCTGAATAGATGTCAGGGTGTCTTACAAAGGAGACTGAAAACTAGAAACTAGTGCATTCTGAATGATTTTATCGCAAGAAAACGAGACTCCTCCTCGGACATTCGCAGCTTCTTTATTCACTTTCTGCTTTGCTTGTTCTAGGGCGCTTCCACATTACCTTATTTTGTGTTGGTACACAAGTTGGTACTCAAGTTAGTGTACGTTACACGTTGGTTTACAATTACTCACACTTTCAGAACGATAGATACAGGTCCACATTGTAAGTCTAACCATAGGGTATTACATAATAATTATAATTGAAATGATGAGAGGCAAAAATATGGCTCAAGGTAGCTAGATATGTAACATTTGCTAGGAAGTTTGATAGATTGATAGCTAATGTAAGCTAGTCTTCTTCTTCGAGTCGGTAGCAATCTCAGATTGTTCTGCCAGTATCGGGCACCGGCCACAGCTGATGGGGTAGGTTCTGCCAGGTCTTCTGGACTGCACCGGGGGGCATCGGCACATTCCAGTAGGTGGGACATTGTCTGCACTGATCCACAGCTGCACGTCCCCTGTTCCACACGCAGTCCATTAAGTAAGCTAGTTAACTACTTAGATAGCTATCGTCAACTAGGAAGTCTCATAGATAGATAGCTAACGTCTGCTAGCTAGGGTAACAGAGCTAACATTTGCTACCTTGTTAGATAGGTAGCTAACGTACACTAGTTAACTACTTAGATAGCTATCGTCAACTAGGAAGTCTCATAGATAGATGTCCGTTAGCTAAGTTTACAGATAGATAGCTTACGTTTGCTTGTAACCTTGTTAGATTGGTAGCTAACCGTCAGAAAATAAAACCCTCTCTCTTTTCCTCCGTACCCAAATCTCTAAAAACGGGGAACAACGGAGCTGATCCAGATTTGCGCCCGATATGACGTAATATCTGAAATGTGGACCCACGGCCCAATCAGAAAGTTGCTATCAGAAACAATGCCAGACTGTTTTGGACTTAATATGGTCTGTGTTTACATTAGCATCGCTAACACTCAGAGCTAACCTGTACTGGAGAGCATGTGTGTGAAGAAGCAGGAAGTAAAAAGGAACTCACCTTGTGGTATAACCGGCAAGAGAGAAAGCCTTTGAGCTCCAAACTGTTTCAGAGAGAATCCTTGATGATCCATGATATGGCGTTTCATCACGGCAGCATTTAGTTTAGACAGTAGCTGCCGGGTCCCGCATGAGCTCAGACCCCTCCTCTTTAAAGCTTTATACCCAAATCAGCTCTTTAGAAACAGGAAGTGAAATAGAGGTATATGAGGCATGGCTAGAATGGTCTGTTTGGTATTTTGAGCAAAACACTTCATAGACATGTTTTTTATATTTTTTTATATATCTGAGACCTCTGCTATTGCCTACAAATAGCATGATAGGTGACCTTTAAGCTAGATAACGACTAAGATAGCTCACGTTCGCTTGGAATTTGAATAGATAGATAGCTAATGTCTGCTAGCTAGGTTTACAGATACCTAGTTACCTTGTTAGATAGGTAGCTAACGTAAGCTAGATAAATAATTGTATTGGCAGCGAACATTAGCTTGTAAAGTAGATAGGAAACATTGGCTAGCTTGAAAAGGAGATAGCTAACGTTGACCAGCTAGCTTGCTAAGTTCATTCCTAAGGTTCGCTAACTAGTTTTACAGATAGATAGCTAACGTTCGCTAGCTGAATAGCACACTGACAGGTCATTTACACTGTAAAATGTACACCACAACACTGTGGACCTTTGTCTATTCTGGCATTGAGAGTCATAAAATGTCGACATTTGTATAAAGTCTTCAGTATTTCAGGAGAATAGCCGAGCAAATGAATACCCATTTAATGTTATTAGAGTAGCACCCTCAATGATAAGTAGTACATGCTGTTTGTGATTAGCCTCGTTGCTAACAGTCAAGTGCGCTGCAGATTAGAGATGAAGTGGTATCAAAGTAACTTGAATAGTCATTATGATGGCATTATAACTCAAAGCACGGTGGCTGGTGCTGTATTTTTAAAACAGATGGGTGATTGGTTTAAGTTATTGTTAATGTGCTGCAGAGCTGCTCTCTCAATCAAGTAACTTTGCCAGCCCTTGATTACTGAAGTGGATTTGATGAATACCGAGCTGTAGCAGAAGATAGATGTGATGAATGTTAAAATATGGAGACTTTATTCAGCGATGCACGAAGCTTCACGTCTAGCTCTCTGTGTGATTAAAAATGGACATAAGCACAGTGTGACAAACCAGTACAATTATTCCATGGTGAAATAAACCCCACCTTTACAAAGTGCAACATACAAATGAAAGACACCATTGCATAACTAATTATAATGAAATAAAATACTGTAAATGATTTTGAAATGGGCCATTTTCCACAATGAGTATGATTTTCATTACTTAAAGTATATTTTGATGCCAGTAGTTTTGTACTTTTAGGTAAGTAAGACTTTTAATTCAGGACTTCTTCCACCATTGGTTGAAAGTTGTTGTGTAGAGTAATGTACCTTAAACTGCTGCTCCTATATCTAAAAATGGACAAAAGCACTGTGGGACGAACAGGTGGGAGACTAGAAGCAAATAAAGGTGGTGCTAATGCAGTTTGCTAATGTGTGCATTTAATAAACCGGCCGTCTCTTCTGCCAAAAATGCCACTTTGCACAGCCAACCGAATCCCAGGGGACTGAGTCACTGCTCACTTTAAATAATGCACCTCATCAGAGGGCTCTTCATGGTGATGAGAGAAAGTCTGGACGCTTCTTTAAGGTCGCTGCCGGACTCGAGGAGCGGGTAATCTGCTCCTCGCCTACACTTTACATTAAATGTGTGATCAGGCTCAGGGATCCAGAGGAGATCAGGGAGGCTGATTACATGAGAGGAAAAAGGGACTCTGAGGTAAGAGACGTAGGGAGGAGGTCAGGGAGTAATGGAGTGTTTCAGGGATGAAGGATATATGAAGGATTTGTCGATTGTATTTTGGAAGCTAAAGGCAGCTAATGTTGGGCTGTAAAGGAACTGCAGCACGGTCACATGACTTCATGTCACCACCGCTAAGCTAAAGGCGGCTAATGTTGGGCTATAAAGGAACTACAGCACGGTCACATGACTTCATGTCACCACCGCTAAGCTAAAGGCGGCTAATGTTGGGCTATAAAGGAACTACAGCACGGTCACATGACTTCATGTCACCACCGCTAAGCTAAAGGAGGCTAATGTTGGGCTATAAAGGAACTACAGCACGGTCACATGACTTCACGTCACCACCGCTAAGCTAAAGGTGGCTAATCTTGGGCTATAAAGGAACTACAGCACGGTCACATGACTTCACGTCACCACGCTAAGCTAAAGGAGGCCAATGTTGGGCTATAAAGGAACTACAGCACGGTCACATGACTTCACGTCACCACCGCTAAGCTAAAGGAGGCTAATGTTGGGCTATAAAGGAACTACAGCACGGTCACATGACTTCACGTCACCACGCTAAGCTAAAGGAGGCCAATGTTGGGCTATAAAGGAACTACAGCACGGTCACATGACTTCACGTCACCACGCTAAGCTAAAGGAGGCCAATGTTGGGCTATAAAGGAACTACAGCTACTGATATTCCTGCACGACTCGAGTGGTAAGTTTGGAGAGGAAGTCATCAGCCATTTTAGCGCACAGTATTTAAGTTTACATGATATTTCTATCTTCTCTATCTACCACATAAAACATTCATGTAGGTAATACCACAGTATAGAAGTACTCTGTTACGTAAAGTCAAGTAAAACTCCTGCATTCAAAATGTACCTTAGGTAAAACCAACAGGACTGACTTCAAAATAAAAGGAACCAATAACTGATTTCAAAATAAGAGCGATCAAGGACTGACTTCAAAATCAAAGCAACAAATAACTGACTTCAAAATAAAAGCGACCAAAAACCTGTCCAATTTGATTGCTGTCCAATGTGCCAAGTCACCAGAACAAAGTGACTCTCTCTCTGGACCTGACAATAAAAGCTTTATTATAACTGAACAAATGAAGGATATTTGAATGAGCTCCGAACCCAGGATTTAATCGGATTCAGGACTAATAAATACTTCTGGGGCAGCGGGGACAGACAGCTGATCAGAACCAGGTCACCAGTCACTAGATAAAAACCTGCTGGGAACCTGGTTCTGGTCTCTTCCAGTGGGCTGGGTCCTGGGGGGGAGAGTCCCTCAGAAGCCCTACCTGGCGAGCCATGAAGTGGATTTTGTTTCTGGTTGGACTCTTTTATGTTGCCCCTGGTTTTTCGTTGGCCTCTGATTAAACCCTTGTTGCAAACACCCTTCATCTCCTTCAGTTCCTCCCCCACGGTGAGCAGAGCACTCTCACAGCTTTACTGAAATGAAATAAACACATTATAGTGTTCAGGTGTTGAGGCTTAAAGGTCAGGTTTGAGATCGGCCCGGTTCTGACCGTGTGGCCCTAAACATCCATCTTCCTCAGACTTCTCTAGTTTAGACATGTTAGCGTTCTGTTCAAACCACCGGGAAAAAGAGTTTGAGCTGTTAGAAAATCACCTGTTGGTTTCAGAAGAACACTCATCGTCTTCAACACGTATAAAATCCACAGCATAACGTTAGCTAAAGATCTTGTGAAGCAATGTTTGCCTTTACGTCTTCCAAGCAGCTACTGGTGTGTGATTGGATGAATTACAGAACAATGTCTTCTACAACAATGACGACATCCAAGATAATCTATCGACCGCAGGAGTAAACGTCTGATTGCTGTTTTTATGGCATCCCTACGTTGGAGAACTCGAAGCAGCAGCAAGAACTCAAACCCACTCCCAGAAATAGGAAAGATTAGATTCAGCACGGTACGTTCGTAGAGATGAATGGGTTCAGATTTAGAACTTCTGCGTTTGGTTTGATAACGGTTTACAGTACCTACGATCACTCTGCACCGTATGATGTGTTAATGTTTAACTCTCCACTACAACCTTTAATCCTGCAATGAATCTGCACTTTGAACCGAGATACTCCTTGAGTTACTTGAGAGGAAACAGCACCCAGCAAACTTCATCACTACAGAGAGACGGACTGAAAACCAGACGATCAGATTTACCTTCAGACCAAACTAACAACTTCCTCTGAGTTCTGCTGCAGGAGAGAAAAGAGGAAACTACAACACTGCTGCTTCAACCTGAGGACCTTCCACACCCTGAAGGTGAGTCTGACTCCAACACCACTCAGAGTAGATTTCAGTCAGTAGAGGAGGGGGGGGGGGGACTTATTATATTATTTGATGTCTTTATTGAACAAGGAACATGCACACAAATACGTTAATCTTAAAAAGCAAAATAGATGCTAAATGCTATATTATAGCTAAAAGCTAATTTCCACCTGCAGTCCCTGGGCAGGAACACACAACAATCAACCAGCTGAAAAGGAATCTAACTTCCATACAACCAACGTTAATATCTAGGTCGTCTCCGATACCGAGCTCCGATGCTGATAAGGATCCGGAAAACGGCCGTCCAACATTTAGAACTAAACCCCCCAGAATCTCCACGCAAGATCACCGTAATCTGTTTAGGAGGGCACTAACAGCGTGGCCTCTAACACCAGCTGCCCGTCGTATCACTTATTTCAGGCACTAAAGCGTCGGATGTCCGACCACCAGGATAGCAAAATGGAGTGTATAGTGTAGTAGGTGTTGGTGGGCTGCTAGAACCCCAGAGCAGTATCTAAACTGCCCCTGGAGGAGAGACCCCGTGTCGTTGGGAGACCCCTTGGTAATTAGGGCAGCTTCAGGACCCACAATCCCTAACCCCCTCTTTTGATCCCCAGTTATGCCAATCAAACATTAATATATCAGCAGTGACATCACCACATCAGCAGAGCACATGTCATATTTCAATATCAATCAAAACCACAGTAACCACAGTAACCAACTACGGTTTTAACCTTAGCAGAGTTTCTATTCCCCTTAAACAATTTAAAATCCAAATCATCAACTAATGTCAGCCTTTTCCAAGGAAGGGTGTTCTTACCTCACTCTGAGACCAAGCAGAGACCTCCAGAGACCACCAGAGAGACCAGGAGTTGGGTCCAAAAGTACAAACCGGTTTTATTAAGGTTTTAACAAAAATAGCGGATTTACAAGAATCCAAAAAATGACAAAAGAAAGATACAAAAGTTTTACAAAGACACAAGGTCAAAGTACAAAAGCAACAGATTCACAAGTCAATCCCCTAGAGCCGTCTAAAAGAGCCCAAGCCCCAAGGCACAGGAGCCAAGACCAGCTTGTCTCTACGATTCGCTGGCCCAGGAAGTTGGTTCAAATCTTTACGTAGTCCGTCTGCATCCTGTGCTCAACCGTTGTAACCAGTGTGCGAAATACAGGGGGGTCCGGGGGAGCTCGCCCCCCTGATTAACACCTGAGCCGCCCTGAAAGCCTCAACAGCAATATTTGAGGGGGGGTCTCAAATTATAATATTTATTTGTCACTTCCAATGGTCACTAAAATGTTTTTAAGCGTACTATGTCCAGTATTCATAATTCAAAACATTTATTCACAAATATCTTCTATTTTGGCTGGCAAAAGCATTTCCTCGCATAGAATCGAAAACAGACGGCTCTTTAACGGTCGTGTATTCATTCATTCATTTGAACGTCAGAATTATTTGACGGCACCCCTGAAGACGACAGACAGCGCCCCGGTTGAGAAACGCTGCTATAGACTACTGATTGTCTTGATTCATCCATGAAATATTGTATAGAGGCCTAATGCATATTGAGAAATCTTCGACCGGTATGTTGCGCAATAAACGGGAGATGGGGACCCCCCCGATTATTGACGGGTATTTCGCACACTGGTTGTAACCGTTGTCAAGGTGTCAAAAACCACAACGTCTTCCTAGATTTGTGGTTGGAACTTTTATGTTCTGCTTGCATCTTCTAAAATGCATAGTGTGCATAGGTCAAGAGTTCAGGATGTTCTGTCTAGTTTCACATGTCTGGTTTCACATGTCCGATAAGACATTATTGAGACATACATCCTTTCCATCAAACCAAATTATAGCCAATTTAACATTTTGTATTAATGGTAAGCTTAATAGAGGTAGGTGAGGTAAAGGTGAGGTCTGTCACGGCCACTTAAACAGCAGATCTGTCAACACAGCAATAAAATATGTCCTAGAGCCTATCACACTCTCAATAAAACCAGATCAAAGTACAGAGGTATAAATATACTAGTACACTTGACAAAATACATTTTGTACGAATAATTTATCTAACATCTCAAATTACAGAAAACTTCATGTTGAAGACACAAAAAGCTACATTTGGGATGAAATGTGAAAATCTGAGCAGGTTTTAAGATGGAAGCAGATTCCAATGTTTGATTGCGTAAACAAGAGATGGCAGATTGTGCAGAGGTTACATCTGCGTTCAGGGTGGGTCGAGGTTCTGCCCATTTGTTCAGAGCGGAGCTGGAAGAAGCTTCTCAACGGTGCTGGAGAAGCATTGGATCTGATGTTGAATACCAATTGAGTTATTGAAAACAGAAGGAGATTGTATCTGGATAACAAATTGCATTGATGGTGTTTTAATGATTTCTTATCAAAAGAGGGTTGAAACTGGTTTCAGCTCAGTCTTACTGGCCTGAGACCAGCAGGGCATACAATACTGAAGATGTGGGGAAATCATGCTTCTATTGTTAATGAGTTCCTGTTATATCTCTCACAGGCTCCGCCCTCTACTGGACTCTATGGGTACTACCCTCTATGCAAGCATTCACCCACTGAGATTTCTATAGACGTAGCCGGCCTTGGGGCGGGCCTACCTGAATGTGCGCGCATCTCACCGTATAAAAGGAGGCCTCGCCTCCTGACTATCATCCCTTTCTCTTCAGCGAGCGGGCAACATCTGAAGCGGAGATAAGACGTTTGAAAGAAGAAGAAAGAGTTATACCTCCAGGGAGTCGCCACTGCTAGAGACCCGGGCCTGTCCTGGCTTAAATAGTGGGCGCCGATCCCCACCACCTCTGCTTCGAGTGTTTGGGGGACCAGGATATGGCCGAGGCGGTGCCATTCACGTTCGCCATTCCTTCCGGGTCCGGCGTCCATGGAAGTCCACCGCCCAGGGCTGTATGATCATGGAGGCGGGTGTGTGGGCTACTCACTCATTGCTAGAGATGCCTCCGCCTCACCAGGTCAGAGCGATTATTGGGCCGCAAGGCCGAATAAGTAGCGTGTTTACGGAAGGGCTCTTTGGATCGATCTCCTTGCTCACGGGCTAAGGAGTAATCGCAGCGTGGCTGCTTCTTGCTCATCCCCAAAGGAAGGAACATTGTCCAACACTCCCCACCCCCTGCTGTAAACCGCAGTATAGGGAGCCAGCATGTGGGCGTGTGCACATGAGTGGAATAAACCGAGTGCTGTCAAAGCACTGTGTGGGTTCAAAAGAAGCTATTGCCGGCGTGCTGTTGTCAGAAAACACACCTTGCCTGGTATAATAGCTCGGATTAATGCATTTCACCGTTGAATGGGAAATACAGCGTTAATACGTAGGCGCGCGGCCCTCGTAAGAGTGGCCGCGGTGCGTTCAGGGACCTCCGCAGGAGAACGGTGGTTCTAGAGTGATGTGTGTGTGGAAAAATGCATTTCATCCGGGGGAGAGTGAGGCGAGAACGTCTGGCAGTCATCCTAGTAGCACTGAATCGCGTCGGGGCTCAGTGGTACTCAGATGACACAGATGAAGGTGGGCCAGCCCTGGTAGCCCCAGTTCTGGGGGGCGATGTCTCAAGAGGCAGGTGCAATCGGGGCGTTACCCACTCTGGGCCGTCCTCTCCAGGCTTGGCTCCTGAGAGGGACAGGCTGAGACAGGGTGGATTGTCTGACAGCGTTATTCAGTCTATCCAGGCAGCTAGAGCAGGATCCACCAAGTGGCTGGGATTCCAGCGATGGTGTGAGGAGCGGAGAATAGAGCCCCTATCTTGTGAGTTGGGCTCTATTTTATCCTTCTTACAGTTATTGGTCAACAGAGGGCGTGCACATTCTACGGTAAAGGTGTATGCAGCAGCCATCTCGTCCTGCCATGAGGGATTTGACGGCAGGTCAGCCTTTAGTCATCCACTGATATCGCGGTTTTTACAGGGGGTCAGGAGGCTGCACCCAGTAGTGCGCGCCTCCGCCCCGCAGTGGGACCTCCCCCTGGTGCTCGGGGCTCTGGTCACAGAACCATTTGAGCCTCTGGAGCTCTCCTCCCTGAAAGCACTGTCGTGGAAGACAGCTTTGCTTCTTGCCTTAACGTCAGCCAAGAGAGTGTCCGAGGTAACCGCTCTGTCGGTGCACCCAAGCTGTTTACTGATTCGGGGTGACCGGAGCGGGGCGACATTCAGACCGCTGTGGGTCAGTGGGCATCTGACCCCCTCCCCGGGCGTAAATGCGCTTCGTTTTCTCCGGGCCCCTGGAGGGTCGCGGGGTGACGTAATGCGCTTTGGGCCCTTACAGGGCTGGAGGGCTCCCTTCGTCTGCCTGTGGGCAGGAGGGGGGTAGCCCTCCACACTTTAGTCCACACACTCTGCACGGGGTCAGTGTTTGAGTGCGAGGCATGGGCACTTGCACTCTCCCTGTGATCCTTAGGGACTCGGGGAGGTAGGTGCACAGTGAGCCTGGGGATTCTCCCCCTCTGCCTATGGGCGGAGGGGGGGGGGGGGCCAGCACTGTTTTTTGAGCACACTTTCTGCGAGGTAAGCGCAGCAGAGTGTGCTCTGTCAGCCGTAGCCCAAACTTCTCCACGGTCACGACCGGGGGAAAGGAGAATGTGGGGCAGCAGCTGCTGACCAGAAAAGCCGGTCAGGGGCAGTAGGGTGGAATGATGTTTTTGGACGACAGTGCGCGTAGAAATCGGGGCTCCACCCACTGTAACCATAGAGTCCAGCCTGTGAGTGATATAACGCCGGGTTACGTATTGTAACCCTTGTTATATTAGCACAGGCGGAGCCCTCTACTCAGGGCACTGTCTGTCCTATTCCGCTCGCTGTAGAGAGGTGTAGGATGATAGTCAGGAGACGAGGCCTCCTTTTATAAGGTGAGATGCACGCATTCAGGTAGGCCCGCCCAAGGCCGGCTACGTCTATAGAAATCTCAGTAGGTGAATGCTTGCATAGAGCGTAGTACCCATAGAGTCCAGTAGAGGGCTCCGCCTGTGTTAATATAACAATACAATACGTAACCCGGCGATATGTTTACTTTTAAAGATGTTGTATTTCATGTTTTTCAAAAGTCATATTGGTATACAAGATCACTCCTAGATATTTTACATCATTAACGTTTTGATGGTTTGTCCATTAACACTAAGCTGTGGATACACGGTTGGTTTGGGTTTGTTAGTAAAATACATCGTAACTGTTTTTATTTATTTAAAATCAGACATGAATCACTGTGCAGTGTTACTGAGAGCTTAGTGGAAACCTGTTCAGCATTTTCCCTTGAGTGTAAATGATCGTGTCGTCAGCATACATCCGGATAGAGATCATTAATATATGCTGAACAACAACGGTCCCAACACAGAGCCTTGTGGCACTCCCAGTGAGCACGGTTCGGTTGATGACAGTTTATTATTTATAAGAAAACATTGAGAACGACCAGATAAATACGACCTTACCCATTTTAGTGAGCTAACTGATCACTTTAGACACAACAGGTAGAAAGTTGATGGGCCTGTAGCTGATCACTTCTCACTACATTTAAACACTGGGGTTACAATTGCTGCTTTAAATGACTGACTGTACTTCCTGTCTGCTGTGTTTTCAGCTTCACTCAGAGACAACATGGCTTCCAGATCAGAGGAAGATCTCTGCTGTCCGGTCTGTAAGGAAGTCTTTAGAGACCCTGTGGTTCTGTCCTGTAGCCACAGCTTCTGTAAAGCCTGTCTGAAGAACTGGTTTAGAGAGAAACCAACACAAGAGTGTCCAGTCTGTCAGAGAAGATCTTCAAGAGGAGAACCTCCCTGTAACCGGGTGTTGAAGAACCTGTGTGAGAGTTTCCTACAGGAGAGAGGTCAGAGACCTCCAGAGGCTCTCTGCAGTCTGCACTCTGAGAAACTCAAACTCTTCTGTCTGGACCATCAGCAGCCAGTGTGTGTCGTCTGCAGAGATTCAGAGAAACACAGCGTCCACAGTTTCAAACCAATCGATGAAGCTGCACGACAACACAGGAAGAAGCTTCAGGAAACTCTGCAGCCCTTAAAGGATAAGTTAGAGACTTTTGAAGAAATTAAAGTGAAGTTTGATCAAACAGCAGGACACCTGAAGGTCCAGGCCCGACGCACAGAGACGCAGATTAAGAAGCAGTTTAAGAAGCTTCACCAGTTTCTAGAAGAGGAAGAGGAGGCCAGGATGGCTGCACTGAGGGAGGAAGAGGAGCAGAAGAAGAGGGTGATGGAGGAGGAGATGGAGGCTGTGAGCAGAGAGATAGCAGCTCTTTCACACACAGTCAGAGCCACAGAGGAGGAGCTGAGAGCTGAAGACGTCTCCTTCCTGCACAACTACAAGGCTGCAGTGGAGAGGCTGCAGCGCCCCCTGCTGGAGGATCCACAGCTGCCCTCAGGAGCTTTGATAGACCAGGCCAAACACCTGGGCAACCTCAGCTTCAACATCTGGAGCAAGATGAAGGACATAGTGTCCTATTACCCTGTGATCCTGGACCCAAACACTGCTGATCCAGACCTCATTCTGTCTGAAGATCTGACCAGTGTGAGAGAAGAAGAAGAAGAAGAGGAGCGAGAGGAGGAAGAGGAGGAACAGAAACGTCCTGATAATCCAGAGAGGTTTGATAACTACTCTGTCCTGGGCTCTGAGGGCTTTAACTCAGGGACTCACAGCTGGGATGTCCAGGTTGGAGACAATACATGCTGGGAACTGGGTGTGTTAGCAGAGTCTGTCGACAGGAAAGGAGACATGGAGTCTGGATTATGGAGCATACAGTTTTATGAAGGTAAATACTCAGCATGGTCACCACCAGGTCAAGAAACTCCTCTCCTCCTGAAGAAGAAGCTCCAGAGGGTCAGAGTGAGTCTGGACTGGAACAGAGGAAAGCTATCGTTCTCTGATCCTGACCCTGACACACCCATACACACCTTCACACACACTTTCACTGAGAGGATGTTTCCATACGTTTTAACTTGGGATGAAGTGAAGATATTACCAGGGAAGGTGTGTGTGACAGTGGATCATAGCAGTTAGATAAACAGGAGGATTATATCTCTGATGGAGTTCATTTCTCAGAGAGGAATTAACTAAAGCTGCACCTGTTTAGTTTGAATGATTGTTATTTAGTTGGAAGGTTTCCTTTTTGTATCTATGATCAACTTTTATTAAACTGAACTCCATGCACTTAGCTTAACTTCTTCTCCTTAACACGTGGGACCAACCAAAGCTTGTAAGAACGATGTTTCTCCATAACTCTCATTAACATGGAGTTTGATTCAGAGGCAATGAGAGGAAGAGCTTTCTTCACATGATCAATGAGTTCAGAGCTTTATGTCGGGTTAGTTTAACCTTTTCTGTTTCTTTGATTCTGTGTCATTTTAAATTGTTGTTCATTTCTGATTTGTGTGTGACGGGATCCAGAGTAAATAAAAACATGTATCCACCTGAATGTTTGAGCAGCCAATCATTTATCAGCTGGTGAAGATAGTAACTGCAGAAGTGGAGTAATATCTCATCACTCAAAGGTCAACATTTCTGAAGTGAATAATAAAGACATTCTGTCGAGGAAGCGGCTGCCTTTTGGTTGCTGATGTTACCGTACTTTGCTCCATGTTTGTTGTAGCTGTGCCGCTGTCACTTGTGTTTCTGTCACTGTGAGAAACGGCTGGTATTAAGACGCTTCAGTGTGCAGTTCACAAAACAAGAGGCATTATGGGATATGTAGTTGTTCTAACATACTTCTAGTAATCTGGTTTTAACCTCATGATAAACTTCTTATATTCTTTGTGAGCTTTCGCCTTGAGTTTGACACCTCTGGTATAAAGTGTATTTTAACCTATTAAGCCCGATGCCCCCACCGGCGTGGACAAAACACAACAATATTCATTAAACTGTGTCTCGGGAACACAAGTGAAGGGAACGGGAAGAAACTCAGCTAACTGACTATATGAACCATTTTTACCAAAACAAAACACAACTCTAACGCCAAGCGTCTGAATTAGCACTATGCGAAAGAGTGCTAACACAGTTAGCACATAACTCACGGTAGCGATCTTGTATACTTCATGCAATCTGCACAGACTAGATATCATATGAAAGCTGAGATTCCACAGATTCCAATGGTATAAGTATCATCACTGTGCGACCAAAACTCACTGCAGCGAAAGCGAAACCAGACAACACACAACTTCACTTTACGGGGCCAAAACGGCAAATACGTCTGACCTTTGTTGTTATCACAACACCTTCACAAGTTGTGTTCAAGGGCATTAAAATGCATAACATATAGAGCGCAATATAGCTTTCGGTTTTGGGCAAACTGCGTGCGCATCACTCTCAGTCCTCAATGGTAAAGTTTAGATGGATTTAGGAACTTCCCCTCGATTCTATTGGCTCTAACGGTTCAAAAGAGGTGTCAATCGCCAAAATCGACCGATGGGTTCCAGAGATATGGAAAATCCACCCACATGACCCCAGAAGTGGGTTTTTTTCAAATGTCCCTTGTTTTGCATCAATCTTGATACAGGGTACTTATTATATGTTATAGTTTGGATTCCTAAAGCTCTTTGTCCACTATCCCATCATTCAAGGGTGGTTTTTACGGAGCCCCCTCGGGGACATGGAGAAGAAAAAAAAAATTGGTTGAAAAAAAAAGATCTTCCAAAACTTTTCATTTAGCTCAATGTACTTCCGGGTCAGTTCGACACAGAAACCACAACAATGGAGCGGTTCATCGATTTTACTTTGAGCTTGGCCTAAAATACACTGAACAAAAATATAAATGTAACACTTTTGTTTTTGCTCCCATTTCTCAAAGATCTAAAACATTTTCTATAAACACAAAATAACCATTTCTCTCAAATATTGTTCACAAATCTGAAAGAATCTGTGATAGTGAGCACTTCTCCTTTGCCGAGATAATCCATCCCACCTCACAG